GGCAAACAGGTCCCGTGACCCTCATGGTCACACCACCCTAGTTTATACCCAATAAAAACCAGCATGGCAACGAGCCCTTGGCCCAATAGTTAGAGCATTCGATTTACTAAATAAAAGGACCCGGGTTCAAGTCTCAAGTTGGGTATGGTTGACTGACGACGTCGAGAATTGGTCCTGTCATCCTCCCTAGTCTTTGTCCTCATGATTCTACAGAGGTAGTGATTTAAGCAAGCATTAAGTGCAGGATACGGGACAAGAAAATGACTTCTTCTTCCTCCTCTTCTCCTCCTTCTTCTTCTTCTTCTTCAGCCAGTCATACCAATCATAGGCGTATACCATTGCACCATTCAGGCACTGGACCGTTCTCCCGTCAGTTGTGATCGAGAATATGAATTATGATCTGTTGTCCCGTTGAGCCTTGGAGCTTGCAGGCAGTCGCATAGCGACTATTTGTATGGGCGGATAAGGTGATACCGAAAAAAAAACAAAGGAAACTAGGATGGCCACTTATGGTTTATTAGCCGCCATCAAGAAAGCTGATTTCGTTATAATACTCCTCAGTGCTTTCTCATTATTCTTCTTCTCAATATTCCCGTCTCGCTCACTAAAAATGTTTCCTTCGCTACATCAACTAGGGAGGTTGGTGGATGTAGAAAGCGCCAAGTGCCCACAAATGATTATCTTTTTGTCCTGATTAATGCCAAAAATCATAGTACTCAACATAAGTCGAAACCATTAACGGCTTCTTCTGAGGGAAAGGAGCTGCAGTATTTTCATGTCAAGCCCCGAAAAGATCATTCAAATCGGAGTTCAGGACAAAAATGAACCCAGCGCCAATTTTTAGGACAACCCAAAGCCCCCCCCCACCCAACATACCTGTTTCCTCACGTTCAGTGTCGTGAGCGTCAACCTCTTGGGCATAGTGATAATTTTCGGAGTCAGCACTAGCATCCCGGTCACCAGGCAGATGGAAGGGTTCTGGATGCACCGAGCTGGGATCCGTCTCCCAGGCACCCATATCCATGTTGGACTGTCCAAACGCGGAGATCAGACCTGGGGGCGCTGCCTGCAAATTGACATCTAGGTTGTCTCCGACGTCTGAAAAAAAGTTGGGAATTCCAATATGATGCGCTCCACACTGCCCTGAGTGAATACACTCCACATTATGAATGGATAATATGCTAATTGTTCCGGTGCTCGAATAGCCTTCTTCCTTACCTTAAAGGCGAACCTTTGCACCTACTTACTGCTGGGGGTGAATAAAAATGAAATATCTGTCAATCGACCGACCAGCACAACATATTAAAGCGTAGTATGCAATAAGGCTTGGTTGCGAAGATACCGCCTCCGAGCATTTCGTAGACTTCTTACGGCATCATTCAAGAAAACAGTAGTCATCTATAAAACGATGGAATGGCGGTACAGGCTTGGAGGC